TAGGGTGTAATGGACTAAGGGGTGGACCATTAGAAAAGTGATGGGGGGGGGGGAGGGAAGAAAAAATAAAAATTGAACAGAAAAAAAAACTTGTGCACCAAAAGTTTGAAAAAAAAATTCGTGCAGAGACTTTTCAATAGGGAAAATTATAAGTTGAGTTGTTGTTATAAGTTTACTATCAGGGGGAGGGGCAGAGGAGGCAATTTGCCCCGAGCCCCCAGTGTAAGGGTGGCCCCCAAATTTGAAAAATAAAAAAAATAATTTGGAACGCTTTTTATATAAGTAATGATAATTTTAATGGTGTGAGAAAAAATTTCCTAAACCTAAATCTTGCAGATATTGGTTTTAAGCATGTTTTAACAAGAATTTGTCAGGGAAAATTTCTTTTGAACCTAATTAACTTAATTGATGTTAGTTAGTTTTTTCAAAAAAAATTTTGAAAAAATAATTGTACAGGTTGGAATATTATGTCCTACACCCCCCCCCCCCCATCACTTTTCTAATGGTCTGTCCCTAAGCCATCCCTTTTAATGTGTTTCTTTAGTTGGGAGAGGAGTTCTGAGGCCCTTCATAATTTTTGAAGATTACATTACATAATACAATATTAATTTTACTCATTGCAAACAGTAAGCTACAAATGAGCCTTGTATTCCATAGGAATGCAAAGTATTTAACTATTTCTGGGTAAAGTTCAGTGATTTAGAGTATTTATATAGATATTGTTTTTAAGAAGTTAAAACTGATCACATCATCAATCTATTTTTTGGGTCAAGGATATACCCTGCAAAAATAGGACTTTCCATTTATTTCACAACTTGAAATTCACACTATTAGATACTAGGGGCATATGGGGTACTCATTTCCCAGAGCCTTAATTTTGACTTCAGGGCCATAGCCAGGGAGGGGGGGGGGTATTGGGGAGGTGGTTAAACCCCCCCCCCCAACTTTTGTAGAATTTACATATTTGGAAAATTGGGTTGGCCATTCGGAAAAGTACGGCAATAATAGTATAACAAAATTCAGTAGTTGTTAAACAGAGAAAATATAATATAATTGTATTGTGAGTATAAACTGATTTACGAAATCATGGCATTTACATGGATAACATTTAACAAATTGTAAATCGGTAAATTTTTTCCGGTTTATTACTTCTTAGGGCCGTAACAACCGGGGGGAGGGCCGGGCTGGCTGCAGGCCGGGCTGGCTGCAGCCCTCCCAATAATTTGCTAATAATCATTCTTTTTTCAAAATCATGCAGACCTTTATCATTTAAATAATATACCTTTAAAATACTGACAATTTAATTTTAAGCCGCTACATTATCCATGACAAACTGCAAAGAATCATATTACCCATACTTTCCTGCAACTTCCCCGAAATATATGTTAATTAAATATGCCTTCGCCCATTTGGTACTACTATAAATTGTAAGCAAATTGTAAATTTGGACATACCAAAACGCTGTTTTCTGACCATCAGAATTCTGTCAAAACTTCCTTTTTTCGTCATTCGGAAATTTTTGGCCTACACCCCCCCCTCCCCCCTATGCATGTTAGCTACGGCCCTGCTTGACTTGTAAGTTGATGGGCAGGTGGCGTACATGACCAACATAACTTGGCATTAGAGCTGGCAGATCAAAACCACCACCCCCCTACCAGATCATGCTGGATCCATCCTGCCACCATGACTGTTAGTGTTGGTGCTAATTAAACAGTGCAATCTTGAACGGTCTGTGCCAGGCTAGACGTAACAAGATAACTTAGTACCTGAAAAATTCAAACAGAACTTCACTCGAAAAGTCAATAATTTGTACATTCCGCATGGATGTTCAAGTTCTGTGCATTATGGAATAAAAACTAGGCTGTTATTACAATTTTCAAAATTGAAGTTGAAACTATAATTAATTAACAAAAGTCAATGGTATGTCTTCTGACGTTTCACTTTATGTGTGGTATGTGTCAAAAATTATGTACGGCCAATCTATTTTTTACTTTTAGAGCATAATTCACTGAAACATATAGATTTTATAACTATAATGTTTGAGAAAAATTCTGTCATAAAATCTTTTTTCAGATTAATCAGATAAAGAATAAGATACCTGGCATTTCAGAATATAAGTTCTACCAACCAAAAAGAATAAAAAGATAAAAAAAACAACAATAGAAAATATAGAATATAAACTCCATTTAAACTCCACTCCTTAGCTTGGCGCCATATTGAATTTCGCGGCCGCGCCGGTAAAGGCCTGGGGACCAGGTGCTCTACCGTATCTGAAATAGCCTTCACCCCAGACCCTGGCTGCGGCTGGTCACGTGCCTCCCAGATTCTGGGAGGTAAATTTAATTGTAACTGTGAGAGGGGTGGGAAAGGAGCGTGTTTGTAGCGTTTTAAAATTGCAACTTTGGGTGATGAAATGTACTGTAAATTTGCAACAAGAAATCGTAAAGAGAACTCTTAAATTAATATTTATATCGTGACGTTCTACTCTATAATCTGGTGTCGAGTTACAATTCAAGCAAGTTGGATCAGATTTCATTATAGACTTGCCAAAGAAAGCACGCTTGCGGCGGCTTGCCGCTTGTGCAGCGTGGCAATATTAAACCTACAAGCCAAAAATATATATCTCCAGACCGAACAGTGTGGTTGTTATTTATTTAGTATTACAGTCTATCCAGATACTCGGACCAAAATAATTTATTTATTGATGAGATGTGGAATTGCAACGAAATAGCGAGATCTTTTGATTTTCGAAATATCGCCATATCGCCATTTCCGAAATAAAGACCTTATCAAAAAAAAAACATAAAGCTCTTTGCATTGCTGAAACCAACGATCATGGACATGGTATATGTCAAAGTATAGCTGTCTGTTGAAAATCTACGGTATTAAAATCATACACCAAAGATAAGTCAAACGACAAATTATATGTCACTATATATTATACATGTCTTTCAAATATGAGCACTGTTTAGTAGTGTTCCCCACCTTTATAAATTTTATAGACAGCTTTCATTAATTTGACATGAATAAGCTTTTATTTTTTGCTTATATGCATTCTTAATAATACAAGTGAAATTTAAATTTTTGCTTTGTGAAATAGAACACCGTTATTTTTTAATGGACAGCTTGCATCGTCTATATCGTATCCAGGATTGCTTGTGTGCAAACGCATTATTCACTATATGGCACTATCAAATAAATATATTCAAACTAGCAAATGATTAATGAATTAGAGATAAACAGGTGATTCACAATGAAAACTTTAAAAATGTTACGGTAGAAGTAGAAAACTCGAAAATTTATGTCTGTTCGTATGACGCCAATTACGGTCTGTGCGCATCTGACACTGTAAATTTGTGATATAGATTATAGTATGTTGACACAATATAATAATTAATAGAGACCAAGAAAAAGGCTAAAATCTTACTATAATTACCGAATACCAATTATGTACTAAATCCAGGTAAATCAATGACTGAAATTTCCTCTATGCTTATGGACATTTCTCTGTTCAGCTATTATCAAATGTTTACATTTGCTAATATTGGGCCAGTCCTAGACAATACTGTTTCTTTTAAAAATCTTATAAACAAGACGCGTAGTAACAAATGAATCTGTGCAAAGCGTATCAACGTTTACAAGAAAGGACGAATGTAATGGCGTATTTTAAAAACATTACAATAAACGTTTGTTATAACCGCGCTCGAGTGTGAAGAGAGCATGGATTGAATAACATCACGAGACTCGAGCACTGCGAGTAACGATTTGCTTGGTTTCTTTGATTTTACTGTAAGTAAGAAAGTAAGAATGTTCTTGTAAAATCAAAGCAAAGAAAATAAACAAAAATTAGCAAGTATTTTGAATGTAATAATTCGCAAAATTTATGTTTTTAACGAATATCCAACTGGAAGCATGTTGATGTAATTTGATACATTCCCCACACCCCCTCGGGTGCTAAATTTTTGATGAGGCACGTGACCAGCCGCAGCCAGGGTCTTTCCCAAAGAAAGATCCTGGGTACGAGGTTGCAAAGACGGTTGATTTGCATGCGAATTTGCAAGGAGTGAGTGCCCGTAAAAGGGAGACAGAAATAAATTATTTTCTTAGGAACAGTATGAACAGGTAGCTTAGGTTGAAATACTTTGTTAAGAAAACATCGTATTTACCAGGGTCTTCCTCAGCTCGCGCGCCACCACGAGGAAGACCCTGGGGACGAGGTTGTCTAGCACGTTAATCCATTTGGAAAACTCAGCAAAAAAAAAGGGGGGGTTATTAGAGAGGGGTCCTGATTTCAAGATGGCTTACAATCAATTTCAGCTGACTTTTCATCGTAAGATTCCGAACTTTGTTCCGAACTTCGCAAATTCGTTGCCAAGTTCAAAAGTTCATAATGAAATTCACAAACAGGTTTGTAAACAAAGAGCCTCTGATTGGCTATTAAATCAAACCAGCCAATCAAATGCCCAGTTTACAAACCTGTTTTTGAATTTCATTATGAACTTTTGAACTTGGCAACAAATTTGGGAAGTTCGGAATTTTACAATGAAAAGTCAGCTGAAATTGACTGTAATAGTAATAGGGCAAATACAGTAACTTTAGAAAATATAATATTGCCATGATAAAATGAAGTAAAAAAAAACCCATTACCAGCAGACAATTTAATAAAATACAAGAAAAAACATACTCCGAAGAATAACATCTTGTAAACTCAAGATATGAGCTATAACACAAGACAACAATTTTGCGGTGATATTTCGACTCTATTTCAAAGTCATTGTCAAACCAGAATAAGCTATTTACAAACTTGCTATCATATTATATACAAAGAAACAGGAAGGGATGACGTATTAGAAACATTACACTATTGACATACAATGATACTAAATTAAGAAAAGACCACGAGTTCTTTAGACGCTCTTAATCCGTTATTAAGCACGGGCTTTCTGTATTTAATATCAGAGCTTCAAGGAATAGGAGAAGGTTGGAATTTGTGTGCTTAAGAGTGTGAAGAGTTTGAGTGTTAGTCTGGATGAGATTGTGAAAAGAGAGCGGTGTGTCTAGTTTGACTGTGTCACTGTCATTTATGTCATTAAGGTTGTCAAACATGTGGTTCAAATTAAGGATGAAATTAGCATGTTCACATTCCGACAGCTGTCGGAATGTGAACATGCTAATTTCATCCTTAATTTGAACCACATGTTTGACAACCTTAATGACATAAATGACAGTGACACAGTCAAACTAGACACACCGCTCTCTTTTCACAATCTCATCCAGACTAACACTCACTCTTCACACTCTTAAGCACACAAATTCCAACCTTCTCCTATTCCTTGAAGCTCTGTAAATACAGAAAGCCTGTGCTTAATAACGGATTAAGAGCGTCTAAAGAACTCGTGGTCTTTTCTTAATTTAGTATCATTGTATGTCAATAGTGTAATGTTTCTAATACGTCATTTCTTCCTGTTTCTTTGTATATAATATGATAGCAAGTTTGTAAATAGCTTATTCTGGTTTGACAATGACTTTGAAATAGAGTCGAAATATCACCGCAAAATTGTTGTCTTCTGTTATAGCTTAGCTCATATCTTGAGTTTACAAGATGTTATTCTTCGGAGTATGTTTTTTCTTGTACATCGCCAACTATTGCGGTCTTATGTCAATCCTGCTATCCAGCGGAAGCTCCCTGAAATGCGTAACGTGAATGTTTTGCCATGTTTTGAAATGATCAAATGGGAATAAATGAGCCAGTTCTATAAGAAACACATAAGTGTTTCGCCTATGGGTTAAACTTTTAATTTAGACGATCGAATAGTCGTTATTGTCAAAATAAATGGTTTTAAGCACGGAAAACATTACAATAGTTCGTCGAGTTTGAAGTTATTTAATACGGTTGACCTTTGGTTGACCTTTTAGTCTGGCAACAGCCAAACGATTCAACTTCTACCGCTGGCAGCACGGATTGTGTTTCGTGTATCCCAGACGCGTTTGCAGGGTTGAAAAATACACATCGTGGCGATCATTTTGGTACCAAGTACAACCTACTCCGAGTGATATTTCGCCTTCAATTTAGCTTTTAAACGCACTAAAATTTGCGGCGATGCGACCAAATATTAACAGCGCAAAATTTTCTAAGTGTCTACGAAAATTCATGATATTTGATGGTAAATGGGAAAAACTTCTCCACTGTTTTATGTGCCCAATTTTCGTGAGCAGCTAGCGAGGATCCTCAAGGTTGGTGTTCCATTTTGGCAAATCACATAGCAGTCACAGAAATCTAAAAATTGAACAATGAAACTCGGTAATCGAGCAGATTTTGGCCGAGTTAGTATACAAGTCTATAGAAGTAAAGCGTTCAGACGGTGAATCTCGAAAGGAACAACTTAATAATGTTTTCACTGTTATTTTTTTCGACAATGCCGTTTATATGCGATGTAATAAAGTAACTCCATTTTGGCAAATAAAGTAATCGAAATATCTTTTTGTCAATTCGATGTTTTTAATTTGACTCCTATGTATTTTATAGATTTCGTTGCCTAAAATATATTGACTTTTACGGGGGTATCCGCTGGCGCACTGCCGACTCAATGTCCGAAATAGTTGGCGATGAAAATGAAGTAATATCACTATAAAATGTAATAGGTCAATTTCACATGAGACATTAAAAATGGCAAAATTGCAAAATGCAACATTATGTGGTGCTAACCACATGTTTCCATAGTTAACACATTGGATTATCATAAATCAAAACGATTTTTGAATTTTGGCCCATGCCCACTCTGCGGCAAACCGTCGAATCTGCACTTGTTTGTTGCTATTGTTCTGTGGATAAAGTGTGTTTATTTAAAATAATTATAACTCAGTCACTTTAACTTTGAAATAAGTTATATTTCTTAACAAACACAGTCTAAGGTTCACATATCATGATGACAATGTTAGATCAGACAATATCCAGTGTTGCTGTGATTTATGGTGCATCGAAGTTTGGGTAGGAGAAATGTAATGTCCGCAACAAAAAACAATTCAATTTATTTTTCAGCCAAACGTCTAGCTCTTTTGACATTATATTTGTGCTGCTTTTTTAAAATGGTATTAACGTTATTTTAGACTGGAAAAAGACAATAAAAAGTATTAACATGTCTTGAATAATGTGTTGCGGACATTACGTTGCAGACATTACATTTTTGAAATTGGAGAATTAGATGCTTATATAATTGTCTTGCTTGAATTCTATAGTTATTTTAAGCTTGATGATTTTAAAAATAGAACATTAAAAGGACTATGGGACCCTTACTTTTAACTATAATCACTCCGTGCTGTATACACAATCACAGTGACACAATTCATCATGGAAAGTTTCCAAGTTACATATAATGCCACTACCGTATACTGCCATTGTACCATCAGTTTTGTAAGGCATATGTTGTTAAGAGCAAAATCATGTTTTAATTCGTGTTTGTTTTGATCATCTTCCACTAAACCCAGGGGTGTTAATTATCCCCACCAAATGTAGTAAATGCAAAACTGTCAAATAGAATGGTCTACAAACATGACACTTTATTTGCTGCACAACCCGAGTCATTGCCTGAGTCTATGCGCAACAAATATTGCACTTTTGAAAGATATTATTGTCAACAGAAGATTATATACTGTAATATATGTGACCATGATTCTGCTTCATCATTGGTCATTGTCGCTATACGGAGTCACGTGAGAGAGCGCGCGAACCAGATGGATCAGTTGTGCATGATCCCAAAATAATGTCGAGAACAAATATTGAAGAACGAGAGATTCTTTCAGCGGAACAAGAACAAGTATTGCTCAATGATGATGAAGAACCCACAAAAACCACTGTCGACTCGACAGAGGATAGGTGGGCGAGCATGTTCCGAGAGTTTAAAGACGACGTTTTGGAGCGTTTTACACGCATTGAGGCCAAACAAGAAAGGCCCTCTAAACGGCGGCGTAGACGCAAGTCGTCATCGGCCGAAGAGTCGCCTGACGACGATATCTCTGACACAGAGAAATTATGTGGAGCGGTAGACTCTGCCGAAACAAGTAGTGAGCGAGAGGGCGACACGCCAAATGGGCAAATGATTTCGGAGCCCGATGATAATCTGCTGAGCGAAATTGCTCAAGAGTTTGACGGGGGCGATGACACAGGGCCAAACGTAAGCGAGAAACTCGCTGACATTGTCAACAAGCGTTGGGCTGAAAAGCTGGATGATTCAAAATTTAAATCCAAATTGGAAAAATATAATAGACCAGCAAACTGCACTCGCCTCCTTGTCCCTAAGGTAAATCCCGAAATTTGGGCGAATTTAAGCCACAACACAAAGAGTGCCGATTTACGTATCGTAAATTTTCAAAAAAAACGCTCACGAAAGCTGGTAGCGCATTGACTAAAATGACAGATTCCCTTTTGGAATTGCGTACCAAACTCAGTAAGTCAGACACTGAACAACAGAAAACTCTGGGTGAGCTCGTTTCGGGTAATGCTGATGCATTGGCGCTTTTAGGGCATTTGAATATCGACCTGTCGCTCACAGGGGCGGATCTAGGGGTCGTCAAATCAGTCGCGCGACTGAAGTAAAAATTACCTACTTAAAAAAATTTGACTCCAGCTATCTATAGTGGCCAGTATATCGAGTTACTAAAATTTTGAATCGTACCGGTAGTCCAGTTATACGTTTCATGCTGCGGCAGAGCTTCGGCAAAGTAATGTTAGTCGGTCACGAACAGCGGTCTTACGCATGAAAGTTGACGGATTCGGGGGTCAATTCCGGCTATCTGATTGGCTGACATGCTCATTTCCATGGTTACGGCGATTTGCGACGGATCTGTGGGGAGGCCTGACGGATTTGCAGATTCAGGGGCTGTGTATGAGCCTTCTGATTGAACCATTTAAAAAAATTCTGCACTGTCATTGGCTTATATTTTCGACGGATTCGCAACGTGAGGTATTCGTCAACACCGCATTAGTGTTTACCTCTGAGTGTTTACTATTTCGAACGTTTACTATTACGAGCGATTTCTACCAGCGATATCTGGAAACATTTTCGACAATGTTCAGTTTGCGATTACGGCAAACAATTTGGAATCTCTATACAACGTTTGTATACGAAGCTTGAAAAGAATATCGATGCCTCACGGACGAATTTTGTTGACTGACAAGCTACTGAGCAGCGCCATCAACAACACAAGCAGAAGCCTCGCTAGAAATTTTGGCGCAGAGAGCTACTGCTAGAGAAAGACAAAGCTTGCCCTGCAATAAGGTAGATAAATTTATGGTTTTATAGTGATGTATCTTTAGTTCATATTAAAGGTTTATAAACCGGAGTACCAAGCCATCGGTGTTGTTAATGATTGTCTGACATATGATATTTTAATATATTCGCTATGCTGTATTGCTGTGTTAGCATAATTCTCGCGTCAAGAAGCTAAAATATGTTAATATTCAATGTCTACATTGTAAGCATTTGTTGATTCTCATGTTAGTGAAGTTTTATTTAAAATTTCTTTATATTTATGCATTAATCACACAACATGAACGCGTAACGCGTATTGTTTATCCATAGCCTATCGACATGGCTTGTTAGACCGCATTGGTCGACGTCTGATGTAACATGATGATGTGAAATATTTAATTGTGGGTAGCTTGAAAAGCTCTTTGACTGGTAGCCATTCTGATGTTACTAGTTTATTAATTTAATAGTATATTTTGTGTTCAATATATAGACCACAGTAAGACTTTATTAATAGTAAGAGTTTAGTTTATTAATATTTGACTTAACATCTTTGACTTAGTTAATGAATATGTGGTTGTTTTTTGGAGCTCAGGCTACTGGCAATTACTTTTTATGTATAGTTCTGTGTTTTTGGTAACAGAACAGTATATTTCCTTAATGCATTGGCTGCCATATGATTTTAGAAGTTTTACAATGATACATGACTTATAAGTATATAGTACCAATATGACGACGATTCTTAATCCACAGGCAAACATGTGAAATTGCTGCTGAGTTTTAAAGTATTATCATCAATATATCTTTGTGCATTTGTAGTTGTTCTTACAGTGTCTGTGGATAAGAATCAAAAGTTCGTTTGAGTTTATCAATTTAATCTAAATATGTTTTATAATTTGATTAATTAGGATTTAGGTTAATAGGGGGGGGGGGGGACCAAATCGCATTTTATGTACGGAAAATTCTAAAAATCCACGCCCAGCGCCGATAACGCCCCGTTCATCAAAAAATTTTGACTGAGGTACGAAAAATCCTAGATCCGCCCCTGTTCGCCGAGAGTTGATTAAGCCTCATTTGAAGAGGGAATACGGCGCTCTTTGTTCGACACGAACACCGATTACCGACTTTATCTTTGGCGATGATCTACAAAGCCAACTTTCGAGTATCACTGCGTCGAATAAAATTGGCCAAACTACAAGTGCCTTTGGCAGTGGGGCGACTCCTCGGCGCTATTCTGACAGCCATAATAAGTCTTTTAAAGATAAGTCTTTTTTATGGCAGCGCAAAGGAAGGGCGTATCGTCCATATCAGTCCTCTCAACAAAGCAAACCCCAGAGGCAGAAGTACCACAACAGGCCGAAAAAGTAAAGCCAGATGACCAAATTAAAGTATTTCCTGATATAACTGAGGTAAATTTGTCTGATGATGTATTAATAAATTATTTAACATATAAAGTTACCTGT